GTGTGCAGCCTCAGATCAACGCTCCCGCCCAACTCGGTGCCGTCTGCAAACTGACTGAGGGTGCTCTCGATCCCCTCGTCCAGATCGTTGATAAAGATATTAAACAGAACTGGCCCCAATACCGAGCCCTGGGGAGCACCACTCGGGACCGGTCGCCAACTGGATAATTTCTTGAGGACTGCTCCTATTGATCATAGTACATACATACCACCGTTTTATTTGGTTCAGCTGATGTCGTAGATGCTGGTTCCAGTCTAGTTTCCTCCAAGCTTTTGGTGAGCTGGGTGAGCTGTTCCAGCTTCTGCTGCAGGGCTTGCAGTTCAAGGACAGCTGACTCTTTTTTCCTTATGGAGTCTCTCTCTTCTTCTTCTAAGGATTAAACAATGATATTAAGCGAAACAGTTAATCACTATCCAAATGAGTTTCTCAATACAGACATTAGAAGCTGCTGGAATTTAAAATTTAGATATACATCGTCTGTGCAACTGTAGGATGACGCTCAGATCTAGAGGCATAAGTCTGGGAGAAGCAGATATTTCCCACAGGACTCAGCGCCTAACCTCTCAGTCCTCATCCCTCAAGGGAGGGCTACGCAACACCGTCTCAGCACTGGCCTGGCAACCAGCGGCAGCCCTAATGCTTTTTAGCAGAGTTCACAGGCTAGCCTACCTCTCGCCTGGTGTGTACTTGTGGCGCCAGACTCAACCACTAGTTTGCATCTTCCCTCCCGCTGAATCTCTCCCTTTTCCACTGACTACAATTTATCCATTTCTGCCTTTACCAAATGAGATGATTACTTCTTTCGTCCAACAATATCCCCCGGCAACTTCCCCCCCGCCCCAGGTAAATGGTCAGATACACAGCTAACTCACTTCTGAGCAGCTGCTCTTTATTTGCACTCAGTTTTGGATTTTGCTTCTCTACGACTTAATTTGTCTATTTGAAACCCGCCTACTTTTCCTCCAAAATGTCACCATTCAGCAAACAGAGGTATTACCTCCAATTACAAAACTTTGCCCCGAGGCCATCCCAGCTACAAGCGTGCCATCGCTGGCTATACAAGGGGCATCCCACGGCTACGTTTGCCAAGAAGGCCAAGTGAAGACAGAGTGTCACTCTTCGCTCCAGCACGCCTCCGATTGACTCGGGCCGAGGACAAAGCGTGACATCATACATAACCACGTGACGGTTTAAAGCATACTCTGGGCCCTCCCTGATTACAGCCTACTGATAGGAACCAAGATGCTCTCAATCTTGAATGACAGGTGGCAGAGAGCCACAGCTAGAGCTCACATCAGGGTAACTAGTACGGCTAAGAGCGGCTCACACCTTCCTCCCGTTTCCTCAGAAGAAACGCCACTCTCTATGAAAATCTAGGTTTGAAAAGGCAAACCCAAGGGATGAGCTTAAACAGTAAATACCGATCTCGGCCATTTGGCATGGTTACCCAACGCTTCCAAGCTCACCCCTCCCTGTTTCTGTACGGGGATGCTAACTTGGGCTTTGAGGAAGTTTTCAGGCTTCAGTAGAGAGGTTGAAAAGAAATGAGTGCAGCCAAGTACTAGTTTGCCAAGAACATGAGAATGTTTCGGAAATAGCTAGATGGAAAGAGAAGAATACCCCATTCTTGCTGTCTTCTGAGGCGCTCATATTTCTTGAAGTATCTCTTGGCTCTTAGCTCCTCAAATGAAAGTTCAGAGCCTTCACCTATGAGCAGGTTTTTATCATACATTGCAACCTGCTCACATTCAACAACGGTAGATGACGACTTGGGAAGAACTTCGGACTTGGAGATGTACGTAACGTACTTTCTGTGAGGGAAAAATAAGAAAAAGCTCTATTCAAGTTTATTGGATTTATTCTGGGAGCGTGTTAATTTTCCCACAGTGTGACTCTAAAAAAAACCCAGACACTTACACTTCTTCTCTTCCACCAGAAGAACAGGACTGAGTACCAGCAGAATCAGGACCCTAGAGCCGGGCAGAGGAAATAAAAAAAATAAAAAAAAAGAGAAAGAATTCCAATATTATAGTTAACCATCCATTTTGACAAGACCAGCAACCACGAAGCCCCTAATATTTAATTCTGATTGGAGAGATGACAATTCAGACCTCGGGCATGTCAAGAACAGATCAGAAAGAGAGCTCTACGAGTCATCAGAGCCTGAGGAAGTTCATCCTGAAGAATTAGCCTTATAACAGTTCGCCGTAATCTCTGAGAGCTTTTGGAAGACAAAGAAGATCCCAGAGAACTAAGAGACAGATGTAGTTCTGGAAACTGCAGTCCAGAAGGACGCTGGAACTAGTTGAACAGGTAGTTTCTATTCCAAAAAACAGGAACGTAAGCTACAGATCACTTGGGTTTGTTAAGAACAGACTGGGTAGCCTCATCGGGTTTCTTTCCTTGACAAACTGTCCAACCTCGGGGCTAAGGAACAGGCAGCAGACACAGTAAGTTTTACGCTCTATTCCATCATCCAAGATCTCTTTCAGTATTTGCGGGCAATACCAAACAGAGAGAGTCACGAGCACTTCAGAAAAACAGGACCAAGCTGAGAAAGGTTACATCAGCTTCCTACCCGCAGTCTTCCAGTCTTTAATTTCACCCCCCGTTCACCTTTCATCTGACTGCGCCAGAACGGCTGCGCAGAATTGTAACTGGCCTCGCCAAACCTCAGAAGAGCGAGAGTGCTGCATTCCGGTGCTTAGCTAAAACGAGTTACAAGTAGTACGGTTTCTTTTTTTGGTTGTTTTATTGTGGGGACGGGGGTGAAGGAAGGTGACTACAGGGTGACGGGATCTGGACTGTAAAGTTAACTCAAGATCTGCACGAAGTACGAACGGAACCTCAGCTGGAACTTGTTAGAGACTGGCCTGGCACGCTACAGAGGGGCTCACAAACTGTGATAAAGTCATCTCCTAGTCATTTCCCAGCTCAACAGACTGACTTCTACAAGAAGCCACCATCCCACTGAGGACCAGCCCGGAAACTTCTCTTGCTCTGACATTATATTTTATTTGTTCTTAAAAAGAGTATTTAAAGAAGTATCTGGAACTTCATGAAAATTCAGTGTAGGCAATTTCCAAGAAGCGTGACCGGCACCGAATCTATCGATAATATTATTCCTCTAAAGAATGCTAACCAGCTGGATGGATCACGCTTTGCCTGTGATTCTGGAAGTGTGTCAAGCGGCTAAGAAGTGTCCCCCAACGCTTCCCAGTTGAGGTATTTCTATGAAGATGTGACGCTTACAGCATAAAAACATCAGTGACGTTTTTGAGATACAGTTAGTATACTTTCAGATACAGTTAGTGTATTTTATCTTTCTTATTCAGACAAGCTCATCAATCTAAACTTTATGTGAGGGCTCCACATTTTTCCCCACAATGTCAAAGTCGCTTATTAATAGTCATTTACCTGATTTTTGCAAGCGTACACTGGGTCGTTAGGATTTGAAACACCTTTTCGAGGCGCCATTTGATTTGCAGCATGCGAAGTTTGAAGTGGTTTTATAACAGCAGCACCTGGGCCAGATAATATAGGTTTGCATTAATCAGTAGAAATAATTTTTTCATTTATGAATTTCTATTAACTTTAAGCGTTGGAAAACTAATACCTCGTTTTGAATACACTCCCCTTAAGGATTTTAAATACGGCCAGGAAAATGGGGGGAGGTGGAAATCAGTTTCTACAGGAAACTTATTTTCTTCAGTGACAAAACTCACTGATCGAGGTAAAAGATTCATCTCATTGAGCTACAGCTCACAGGCAGGTATCTTTAGCCTCACCTTGCAAAGGAGGATTCCGAGGATCATAATTCTGCAGCCAGCTAAATTGCAAGAAATGTCAGTTATTATCATGACGTCACCTGTCCCTCATTCCTCCCCAACCCCCAGGGAACCCTTGATTTCCTTGTACGGTCATCATGCCATGAGACGCAACGCTAAGAATCTCAGGTTAGTTACAACAGGACACTTATTACTGTATGTGGACATAACCTGTTAGCTTCACATTCGCAAAAATAAAAGAGCCTGCAATAGGCAGCAGTATATGGAAGTTGGGTTCTTGTTTTGTCATCACCAGAGGGGACGCACATCATCGTGATAAGCACCAACTCCAGCGCTTCCAACAGCTAAATGCTAAACTCCAACAGGCACCCACTCTCAGCTACGTACCGTGCGATAAGCACAAGAAACTGGATATACGTATAATTGTCAACATATCCCCAAGATGGACTAAAAATCAGGAGTTGATGTCCGATTTCACTGCAGTTCCAGCTACGGCCGCAAACCAAAATCAAAGAGGGTCCAAATCAAGCAGCAGCCGAAGCATGCATTTGGCCGGCGGTGTCGGTAGAAGCACAGGCAGCTACAGGGCGAGCTACAGCCAATTAACGCACTCTGGAAAGCATACAGATGTCCCTCACTTGAAAAGCCGGGCGTCGTTAGCGTGGCCAACTTGCTTGAGCTTCCAAGCACTGAAGCTCACTCGCAGTATTTCCAAGGTAGGCTGCCTGAAGCAGGCCAGGCTACGCACCTTTACAGTTCGGATCGACTTAACAGAGACTAGACAGGAAATTAATCAATTAATTACAGGATTTTCTTTCGGGGGCCCTACTTCGCTGAAGACACTCTGGTACGGCTTTTCTCAATACACCCTCCAAAACATCCAACAAATATTGAACAGCAAAGAAGTGTTGTTAAGCTTCACACAAATACCTTTGTGTTACCTTTCACAAAAATAATCATTGGTCTACCTCTGCTACAGCACAGGGCATATGCACACAAGAAAGAAAAAAAAAAAATTAGCCGTACGCTATCCGAATAGCTCAACAAGTAAAAGACGCGTCAGGATTACCAATACAGCTGTTGCAAGTTCTCTCGTGGCTGTGCCTGGTTGTGAAGTCCTTTCTGCAGGACAGCTCCCGCACACTCCACTTTGCCTTCGTTTACAAGCTGCTGAGCCCACGCGACGTAGAAGTCGGATGCCTTTGCACCAACTCCCTGTCCATACAGGTAGTCAAAGTACTGGCAAGGAGAAGTGATGAACTGCGCCTGCGTAAGATACAGATGCACGAGCCATAAGCGCCTTCAGAAACATCCAAGGAAGTCGCAGGCAAAAGAAACCAATAACAATTTTTTAGTTACCACCATAAGAAAGCATTATTTTCTGAAGATAAAACCAGCCGGCAGATAAGATGCCTCTCACAAGCTAACAGCTTAATAACACAGCTTTAAAAAAAAAAATACGCTATCCTTCAGCAAGACTGAAAAGTTCTCAGAGCTCCTGCAGAGAGCAACGCATCTGAACCCCGTGCCGCGTCCCTGAGGGCTCCCTTTCCTCCCACGGCTCTTTGCAGCCACAGGACTACAGAACGGCGGGACAACTTTAGTTTTTCGGGACGGCTTCCTTCCCGAAGGAGCAAACACCTACCAGCTTAACGCAGTAGTTGACAAATCTTGGATCCCCGCGGTACCTCGCGTCACTTAGGAACGCCTTCACGAGCTGCTCCAGGAGGCCGGGCAAGCGGGTTTGCTGTTCTTGGAGGGGCAGACATCCTTCTACCCACCGCGCGTACCTGAAATACACTCCAGCAAGTCACAGGCCTGCCGCGCGCCGGCGGCGACGCCAACACCCGGCCCACGGGCGCGCTGACCTGTCCCACGGGTCCAGCGGGTCGGTCCCTCGGTAGTTCCGTATCTGAGCCTCGTAGCTCCTGCAAGGCGAAGGGGGCAGGTCAGGCCGGCCCCAGGGGAGAGGGCCGCAGCCCTGCCCGGGGTGGTGGTGGTGGGGGGGCACACAACGCCCGGGCAGCCCTCGGGCTCGGCACCGCCCGGCGAAGGGGA